GACAGTTAAGCTCCTTGGGCATTTCCATAAGCACACTATGCCTTAATGACACAACAACAACTGATCACGCTGGCGGAGTGGGTGTGTTTGATGCAATAATAAACAGTGGATCCGACTAGTGTCAAAGACTAGGAAGTTCTTGGGAAAAACCTGCATACTGCATAAAAGCGAATCGATCTAATCGGTATTTTAGCAATGGAAATAAATGAAGCACAAGTGGTTATCTCAACTAATCTCTATTGCTGTTAAACACATTAGCCCTTTTCCACATCATTATAACAAATCAAGAACTTGAAATAATTCCACTCTCTTCCGCCCTCTGCATCATCAAGATGGCTCAGGGACAGAGTATGTATAGTTTTGAGGCAAGATTCGCTTTCATTTTATTTCATATTACTTGTTTATTTGCACTTAAGGTCACAAACAATGAGGTCCGATAACTCACGTACGTCTACCGTGTGGCTACTCAGTTTAACTCACCGGGGGGCTGTTTGTCACGAACCTCATGCCATCCTCATTATGACGTGACATTGTCGTGATTCTAACGCTGAATAATATTTTAGTCGAAAGCTAGTGAATTAGTTTGACTTCGTGAGGATAGATTCTTGCCACAGAAAAATTAACAATAAACAGTATAGTTTGAAATATAAAAATTAAAGGTTAGCACAGCACTGGAGTAGCATCCACCTTTCAAATTAACATCTCATGCATAGAATTGATGGAAAAGATATCGTGTAGGCGCGATATGTGGAATTGCCTGCGCACAGGAAAAAATCAGTCTGAGAACTGCTGCATTCCTCCTCTGTCATAGTTTTATGATATCCCAAGTGGAACACCACAGTTAATTACATCAACTTGTGCTGTGATCATTCGCTCACAGAGGACTTAGTTAACTTTTTCAATTGGCTACATAAGGCGTCAAGTCATTTTGAATAGTGCGCTAGCTTTAAAAAAGTCATAAGACGCGGGGCTGAGGGCAAACAATAAGCGATGGGAATGGACCTGTTTTCAGTACAGTTTTATGTGCATAAGAAGAAGAGAGGAGAAGTGCGCAGTCTGTGAAACGCGTCATGACCATCTGCACTAACAAAGTGTTTATTGAAACCTCGGGGTAGTGGATGACACATACCGCTATAAATCTAAAGAATAACATTAAGTACCGGAACCGAGATATCGTTTAGTGACTAAATTTGTAAAATGTCAACATAGGTTTAGTTTAACTCCAACTCTATCTCAATCCCTATCTCAAAGGCAACAATTTAAACATGCCCATTTGACGCATGCGTAAATATAAGGAAAAGGAAATTTTCGCTCGAGATACAAAGGCACCAAGAGAACACTTGACTATCTTACAGTGAGGAGAAAGGGGTGTTAAATGGAAGGCAAACCAGTGAGTAGGAGCAATCCTTGCGTGTTGGTTCTCTTGCTAAGCCACCAAGGTGCAGGCCAAAAATCCTTCTCATGGATAGATAAAGAGACGCAAATTAGAGCAAACAGTGCAATGTTTAGCCACTCAAAATCCTAGCAAATTTTTAAACCTCATCCCCTCTCTTTTCTCTTCCATTATAGAACCTATCGAATTTTCTTCAAATCAACCTTTGATTCGATAAGTAGATGCAAACAATGGAAACGCAATCGTGTTGGCTGTCTTCTTTTGAGTGTTAAAGGAAAATCTGCATTAATGTGGTAAAAAGAAAGTGACAGAGACGCTCTGGTTTGTCAAGAGCAGCAGTAGCTGCTTTCTGCAGCAACAACGCCAAGTCTGTGCACGAAAGGCAAGACGATGATGTCGAAAGAATACTAACCACACAGGAATAAACAGAAAAACGCTAAGCTAAAGTACGGCAATGAACAAAATGACAGCATTCAACTCTGTGACCAAAAATTCACTTCCTTAAGGAAGCACTGCGGGATACTGACAGAGAAGGCACTATCCAACTGTAATGGACAATATGTCGACTACATTCGCCACACTCCCTTACTGCATTGCAAGTAAGCCTAGAGAATGATTGTTTTACTGAAAAGGTTCTTCTAAAATGCACCCTAGAAATGTACGAGGCAAGATCTTATACTATTTACCTCCAATTCGAAACGAAAAAAGGAAACGACTTGCTTACGTGGTTCCAATGCGATAGTTATAGGCAAACTTTCACTCTACAATGGCAGCATATCGAAACAAAGTCTGTACCACAGAAGAACTGCCTTCGGCATGGATGGATGGATAGCGTCAGCAAAGTTTTTATTCGAATAATATTCTTCATGAAATGATGTAAACAGAAACTGTCAACTTCCTTGGTTCCGCCCATAGTTCATGCACAAAAATCATCATTACAATGCTGGCTAGCCAACAGAGGGATTACTGTGCAACAGAAATCCCTTTCGCAAGCAGTGATGAATGCCATCTGTGAAGATTTAATGGCAATTCCTTCTAGATGGAACAGAGTTAAAAGAGAGCGAAGCGATTCTACTATTCTATCTCATCGTTTTGATTCAAATTTTTTTGCTAAAATGTCCACAAACCCAAAGAATGGCAGTTTTGCAGGAGGACTGTATTTCTCCTGTCCGGAAGAGTGCACAATCAGAGGGCTTATGACATTTTTTACAAAGAAGTAAACATGAAAGACGCGCTTTCATGGTTTCAGCTCAGGTTTTGTAGCCAAGAATAAACACTACAAAGCCATATATAGCCAGGGTTAATAAGGTTGATAGGCTTTCTTCTCCCTACACTTCTTCCAAACGATAGCATTTAGAATTTGCTATCCCCGTGCATGCTATGAAATTGCCTGCAGTCAGGCGTTGCATTGCAGAAAGCCATTACGCCACGGAGGTCATAAGAATAGTCAAACAGCTCTGACACGTCCTAGAGGCCTCTGTCATTTAAGTACTTTTGGCAGAAAGATTCCCCAATTAAGGTGTTGAGATAAATTCGTAAAATTTTAGTTGCTTGTGCATGACTATGCTACTGAAATCAATTAGTAGGCAGACACCCTATGTACCTCGTTAATGGTGATGAAAAAAGTTTTGTACCTAAAATTGGCGACAGCTAAAAGCAAACAAAAAGCTCTGCTTTCTAAACTGTTTAAAGTTGGGTTTATTTTAAAGGGAGCCAAAGAGTTCTTGAGTTCTACCTTTTCCTCCATCCTACTTCTCGTCCACCTCTCACTCACAATTCGGAGTAAATTACCACTACACAAGGCAAATGACAGAGGATGGATAAGGTTGCAAAATAAGATCCGATTGACCGGTTCTGCCTTTACTAAAAGTTGGTGGCGGTATTTGCAAAGAAATGCGGGTGGATCAGGCGAAAGGAGATAATGGAGATTCTATCGTGCCACGAATTATATTTCCCTTGGTCTCGCTAGTAAATAGCTAGCGTGACAGCAACTGAGACAGCTTTTGAACTAAGTGGCGTTAAAATGTCACTGATACTACCAATGACTCATACAAATAGTGATGATGAAGATTAGACCTGGTCAACAAATTGGAGTGTGGCAATCCCAATACCTTAAAAGATGGAACGAAAGGGCCTATCTATGGAAGAATTCTGCTTTAAGCAAAAGAAGTCACTTAGATTCAGTTATTTTTTTTGCTTTTGCAGTAAGTTCTTGGAATATCTGCCGACCACAAATAAGCGCACCAAGCTTATTACAAATCTGGTCATTGTCACCCCAGACAGTCCCTGTGTACTGCGCAGCAAAAGCTTTTAGTCAATAGATACACGTATACTCTAGCCAGACGAAGCAATCACACTGAACAGCAGTTGACGATGGTCCACTTACAACTCAGATGAGTTCTGCTGAAGCGCATCTGGATGCCGAGTTTGACTCCCTTCTGAGGATTTATTTAGTTTAGCTGCAGTCTGCTCCGTAGACTGCGTGCCATCGTACACGATGGTCATTTTTGCACTCCCAGAATCCGAAGACCTAAGTTTGCCTCAGGAATCAAAGTGTAGGCCAGCCTATGCCGATGATGGAAAGTGAGATCAGTGATGCCGTCTTCGAGAGTAGCCTAGTCGCTCGCATGTTGGGAGCCTCAGCCGTAAAAAATATATACACGAAACCTACTGATCTCTATTGCAGCTAACTGAATTCGGCGTTGTTCCCACATCTCTCGGTCCCCAGCACTTTTCAGTAGATGCTAATCCTCCTGCATCACTTGGGTGACAGCAAGAGTTGTTCACGCACTACAGCTACAGGTATCACTCACCCCAAACGAATTTCTGTTTTTAACTCGTTCAGTGCACGAGGACGCTGGATCAAAAATGAAGCGACAGCACTAGAACTGTTCCTATAATCGTCCAAATTTACGTCAAAGGAAGGCTTAAATAACAGTTGACTTTCTAGTTATTGCATCAGTTTCCTTCCCAGCGTTCCAAATTCACTGTAGCCTTCAAGATTGCTGCGTGCATGACATGGCACTGGTTACTATGACAAATCAGCTTGCCCTGTCTTTTTATTGGTGCATTGAGTCTTATGGCTCTCGCGCATAACATTAATAGCCAATCAGAAGTAGGTCTCTTGTCCCTTGTTATGCGTTGAATGCCGCGATTGGCCAGGGGATTGTCGGCAACGCTAATCTCTTAACAGGAAATCCTCATAGGACACGGGAGATGAAAAGAAGATAGAATATTCTCGCGCAACAAGGTTATCGTAAGGAGTCACAAATCATCTGCGGAATTAGCTTGCCACTTGTGATGCTGACGTTGAGCTAGTGTGTGCCATTTAACTCCGCCCTTCCAAATATACTACTGAAAGGTGATTAGCATCCACAGTCAGTCAACTGTCAGCAAAAATGTAATGAGCTAAAAGGTGAAAGGTGCGCTAGATTTTCCACACAATCTATGGATCAAAACTGCGGTCTAAAACTGACAGCTAGAATACCAGTGAATACAAATCCATAGCTTTTCCTTTAAATACCCTATTAACTAGAGAGAGATTTGTCCATTTTGCAGCAAAAATAAACTCCCATCATGTCTATCTCCAAGGGTTAGGGACACGGATTTCCTGCTTAGTGATGCTACCTACCTCCCCATACCTTTTGGACATCTTTTATGCATTACCCGTGCCTTTTCATGTTTAATTGTCACCAGCTTGACGATGACCTGTGTGGAAAAGAAAGAGTGCTAAATTCAGAAATGGTAATGATATTTTCTAGTTGAACAAACTAAGAAGCAAATTAGGCATTTATAGCCTTATAGGCTGTGGCCTTGCCCGAGTATTTGTCCCGGGAAAGTTTAAATTCAGCGAATAGACTGGGTTCAAGCTGTTCTGGTTCGGCGCATTGTAATCACCTCTTGCAGATGTGAGTGCATTGCCAAACACCATTATCTCAAAAAAAACGAATAAAGTTGGTCTTGAAATGGGACCTACTACGAAAATACCAGTAAATATAACAAGCATGTATTTTATGGGTTGCAGATATCCACTAAATCCACTCCCGCCTGCACTTTTCCGTGTCATTCTGGAAGGAAATGATCCCCATGGTTAACCTCCCGTACCGTAAGCTCAGCACCTACGATCCAATCGCGTCAGTCAATCATTTCCATGCAACTGAACGCAAATGCACGACACTTCCAGTCACTTCTACTAGACCTCGAGTTTCGTTTTGTATGAGAAATATATTTGGCGAGGGAAATGTGCTACCCATCAGGCATGGCCACAGCTAGTGGTAGGGAGCAATGCCTAAAAGGAGACATGTAACAAATTACGGGACTCAACATATTTCTGGGAGTATAATTCCGCTTTTACACCAACTTTAACGTTGTTATCACTTCAGAACTGCTTATCCACTGGACTAAGCCAGCTGCCAAATTCAGATGCCTTTTACAGCCCTTCAATTGCGGGACGTCATTAACTCGCCTATTTGCAGCATACACCTTTCTTTTCATGCGCCAATGTTGCTTAATCAGGAGTAGGAATCATGGTATTCTTTCCGCTGCCATCGATACAGCACCCCATGACTAACCCTAAACGCGAATGAGGGCACAATTCTGTTGCATGTTATTCTTTCCGCTATCAGCCTAGGGCACCAGTGAGCACCTCCTCACTCCACTAATATTGGCATTCTCACTCTCATACGTCATCTGCTGCTACCAACACCTGTCGCCCTGTTCAATTTCGCAGATGCTATTCTTCACTCCGCTCCTCAATAAGCACTTCTTTAAAAAATCGCATCTCGCTTCTCTGCTTTTTTCCTTACCTCAAAACCTTGTGGCAGAATATGCACAAGACCTTGGCCCTGTCACTTCCATTAAGCTAAATATAGGCGCATGGGGATGCCTGGTATCTAACCTCAACTCTTCCATTTAGTTGACCTGACCGCTTAATTTGCTGCCAC